GGCGACAATGGCAATCAAAGTTGCCTTTTTGACATTCGTGCAACAGATCATGTTTCTTTCCGGCATCTGCTCTACGTTAATGACCGTCCGGCATACCATGCGGTACAAAAGGATACCCACACTAGGACGGCGTAATCTTTTCTTATTCTTATACTTATTCATTTACCACCAATTCTGCAAGTCAAGCGAACCCCGCCCTGCAAGGCGAGCTGCTGTGACCGCTCGTACATTTAACTTGCACCGAAGGGGTACGGCAGACATCATTAACTTACCTGCACTAGGCAAGAAAAGAACACACTAATATGCAAAATGGAACTTACCTCTTGTAGAGTCGACTGTCGTGGATTTCTTAGTTCCTTGTTCTCTGGCAAGTTACGAGCGAGAACAGCTCGACAGGAAATCAACCCAACAAACGGTAGAGATTCTACCTGCGCAAACGGCTTGCGGTCATCATAGAAAACAACAACACTTCGAGAAACATACCAACGACAATGCCTATAGCAAAACGTCAAAACTTCATTCCGAGGGTTTTTTCTAACCAGACAACATCGAGACGTACCTAAGATCTATCAGTAGGTCATAAACGACAGTGACATATTAGGCAACGACGACAACAGACAGTGCAAGGCTGCTTTCCGTTTAAGCCAGAAATAAGTCATTTAGCGTGCTGAATAGTTCAGAGACGCAGACTATAACAATCAGGAATTTAGAGTCATGCAACTTGTGGACAGTCCCTTCCGAATGGTATAAGCCCACGATGAATATGCGTTCATGATGAAATCAACCATCTATCAACATCACAGGCAGAAAGCTGAAACGTCAGTCGGTCAATCAGATTCGATAACCGTCAATCCTTTCGGGTCGTAATGGCACGCGAGCCAGACAGTGCCTCCAATGTCCTCTATCATGATCCAGCGTTTAAACTTCGGTAGAAGATAACCACAGTTTGGAGCACAGTCATTATAAACACTTGACCCAAGTCAATCCTGGAAGCCTCCTCCCGGATCTTCGTTGGGTCAGTTGCGCAAGTCTTAGCTGTTTCACTTTTTCTGGAAACATTCGCAAGACGTGTCTAAACTATCGCAGCAGTGACTTCTCAATCTGAAGAAGCAGCGACTGAACACCAAGGCTCTCCCGGATGTCAGTATTCCGGACCACCTCGAGATGCTGGAGCCCAGCGATTCGTCTCAAGACACCCATATCAACTACTAATACCCAGGATCGAAGTTTTTTAGTCATGATCCGCAACTAACAACCATAAAAGAGCATCGGGATGAAGACTGACCTGAACACCCAGAGCTTAGTCTCCAGAGTCAGCTCTGCCATAGTCACCATCGTTCGGGCTAATTCACGCAGAATATCGGAATCAACCCTGATTCGCAGGTCGGTCTCTTCCTCCCATTTTTCATCATAAGTAAACATGATACCGAGGTAACTTTCCCACCTGCCGCACTGTGTCCCATTCATATGCAGAGTGCAGAGGGCGGGAGAACGAGAAAACACTAGGCTTTTCGTTTAACACACGTTTATGCGATCATTTTCAGAAGATGCCGACAAAACAGTCGCCTGCAAACAAAAGATTTCTCGTCTCGACATCTCTTAAGATATAGTCCACAGTCATACAATCATACCAAAGATTCATACAGTCACTACACCACAAAAGCAATGCACCACCTAACGTCGCATTCATCACTGACTCATATCCCCGCACAGTGCTAACCGAAAATGCACTTCCATGTACATGCATACATAATATGGACAAAAAATTTCTGTTTAGCATCGGTAGGGTCGAAACTGGGTTTTGTAGGAGACTCTCTTGACTGCCAGGTCGCTAAAGATCGCCCCCGATAGGATACGCTGCATCTATACAATTGGTCAAATATTACTGCAATTCAGCACTGTTCAGTGATACAAGTAGATCCTTCTTCTATCTAATAAAGAAGCAGTCATCATGGTAGAAAAAATTGCACAGTATTTTTCTCACTTTAAAGTGAGCCCTTTTTTCACTCAACGTTCATAAAGGATTTGAAATCAGATTCATAATGACTCGACCTTCGTGAACGTTTGAAAAATCGCGGGCTGTTACTATTATACTAACATCCTGCTTATATAGTCATAGGCATAAAAAATTGACAGACATCGTGCTTGGCAACTTAATGTGTCTTAGGGGCCTTTTAAGTAAATCCACCGGCTGAATGACTGACATATAGTTTTTAACGTATTCATCCGGAAGCTTCGCAGCTGTGAAAGGCACGTAAAACAATTTTCAAGCAATGCAGATTTCTAAGCGGAAGGGGAATATGTCGCTGAAAAATAAAATCAAAAACAGTAACTCCTGGCTAATATGTTAATTGCAGTTCTTCATGCTAGTGGAGGCTATCCATCGTTGCACAAGTTCCAATGAAATCAATCAGTAACAGAGGATATTATACGATAAAAAATACCAGGAAATTCATGTTACTTGTTGACAAGTAGCGCTGGAATGAAAGGGATAATGCACGTTAGGGTCGTTTTATTAAGCTTGTCTGATACAACAATGGAAGGTATCGCTGATAATACCAAAGACACCACGAAGAAATCGGTTAGCAACTTCAGCCAATATCAGACATAAATTTAAATGCCATAAACAAGAGCTGCAGCGAAAACTTAAGGAAAAGAAAAACCTGCTTTAGCAAGCCCTTACACACACGGTGGGAATAGAATTACAAGAGCAAAGAAAAGTCTCGAAAACAACAGACCCAGTTAGACCGCAATTAAGAGTAACGCTAACAAATAAGATGACAAAGAAACGTGCGCATCATCAGCAAACGATCTAGATAAATTCGAAAATATTTATTGTGCTCAATAAGTATTGTGACTACGAACTCGCCGCACAAAAAACTAAACTGGCCTGCAGTAATGCAACACAGGGGTTCCATGCAGCACACGACGAAAACGTAACATGACTATTCGACGTAACAACTGCTACGCACTAAAACCTTGAACCTTGCAAATGCATGACTGGCAGCAAGTCGGTGCCTCACAAGGAAGTATATAAATTAAGCGACCTCATTAGGATATATACACACATATTTGAACCCGACAGAAGCGTACACACAAGAATTGCATAAATTTAATGACAATGGTACTATTCAGAAGCATACTCATCTTAATAATAATCTTCAAACTAGGCACCACAACAGCCAACGAAGACCAATCTTAAATGATACGCTATTCACTGACCAAATTACTGCGCACGGTTCCTCGCGTACGGTTAACAAACATGCAAATCATTAGTACTGTGATAGCAAGGAAAATGCCAATAGAACAACATATATGTAAATGAGGTGTCTTTAATGCAGTTTCAAGGGAATCTAGGCAGTTTTTTCTAATTCACGCCTATAAATATGACCATACTTAAATGGACAATACAATATTTTGAAATATTTTTCTAAAATGAGAAACCGCTCCGTGGTAAGGAGGAGAAATGGATGCATAAGTGGATGTGTCAGGGCTGAACGGAAAAAATTTCGAGTTGATCAAGCCTCATAGAATCATCATCTGGAACAAAATGTGGCTTGTGTGAAGGGCAAAATAATGATCTGTCCAAGGCGCCTGGCAACCTTGGACATCAGCCAAAACCGTTTGTGAAGATCGAATGAAGTGGACGTAAAAAGCAAAAAATGTTCTGCAGTACCCTACGTGCAGTTTGAGTCCAACCACATCGCACAACAGAAGGGCGACCGATGTCTCCAACAGTGATGAAATCATGCCCAACTAGCGGCATGCGCCCATTAGGGCGTCTTTAGAGTGAGAAAAAGAATTACCAGGCTATTCTGGGTTACAGAAAAAGTCCTTAGAGTCAAAAGAAATCAGACAATAGGCGAGTACTTGCAACAGCTTACAGCACTTTCGAATGCAGACTATTGCCTTCTCGCCCGTTCCGCATCTTAAGACTAAGCCATCTGTGACAGTTCTATCTTCGTCGCGATACTCACGGTCATGAGACATAAACCATGATTGAACAATGCCGATCTTAAGTAGAAGCCGTTGAAACTGATTTCCGAAGCTAATCGCTGGTATCAACCTCTCGACATAGCCTATAAAACTGATATTATATAAAGCTTTGTTAAATAGCCGGTGCTTCTTCAGGCTGCGAAATCACAGCTGCGATGGCTCGGGCACGCGTTTCCATGCCTTCAGAAAGGTAAACGTTGCAGCTACCACTTGCCCAGCCGACAGGCAGTAGACACAGGGGACGACCAAAATTAGCCGGACGCAAGTGTATAGAAGGAGTCTGCTCTAGGCTCTCATTGCCTTTAGTCGAAGTTCAGACGCTAGTATAGGATCGAGAATGTTGGAACCACTGTCTGACCCATCTGCCTCCGCGACTCGAATGGGGAAGCGGTTATGGAAACTAATGAAGACGACAGATAAATAGCATTCCGCAGGTCAGAAGAATAAACGGATTAGCAACTGTCGTTAGGTTGAATTCAGTCTTTCTAGATAACTAGGTTCACAATAGACTTCTGGGGGAGTTGCCCCGCCACTGTAAACGAATCGTTGGAACTGAAAATGAATTAATGAAGAATAGACAAGTCGCGGGTGTTACTGCGTTGTCATGCAAAGCAGGAAACCGTTACATTTTTATTGAAAACTTGCATGATGGCTTTTAGGCGCCATTACAGGAAACAGAGAATTCAGAACGGACTTATCGGTCGACTGAACTTTAAAAAGTTTGAGGTATTATGGAAAGCGACCTTAAATAGTTCGAATTCGTGAGTTTAAATTACTGCTAATACTCCTAAAAATTTTGATCAGATGAATTAAATCTTGCTGGCCGTTGGCAAAACCGTCTAAGCACGACTCAATTGTCCTTTTTTCATATTCACAGTAACCGCGACACGGTAAACAGCCGTGATGACGAATGCTCTCTGCGAGACTAATGATCAGGTCATCTCTATTACAGTACAACAAGAGACTTTCTACTGTGAAATTTACTCGTTGGGTAGTTGTTAGCGATGTCCTATGCGTACCTGTTTAAGTATATAATTATAGGAGACACTGGTAAGTGTAACGTAGGTTTTCTTTTCGTGTAGGTTACATTTATTAAAACCTTCTTTGTGTGATGTAGTCCTCGCTGTATGTTTTTCGATTGCCATAGTCTTATTTCAGGCGTTGGAAAATCATGCCTTCTCTTACAGTTTACTGACAAGCGCTTCCAGCCGGCGCACGACCTGACGATAGGTAAGGATTCAGTGTTTCGTTTTGCTTCACTGTTATGACTGAGAAAAATGCGAATTTGCTGGTAGTTTGTTTCTGTATGCGCACTGTTTTCCGTTAGGGGCGACCTCCCTTATCTATATCCCATGGTCTAGGCGTAGAAACCGTTCCTTCATAAAGCGGTTTTCAGTAGCCTTAAAACTGTACCCTAAAGGAAGCCTCGTATGCATACATGTGTGTGTGGAAGATTTTACAACGTCTGAGTTTCGAGAGAAAGCGGACAGTTCCGACCGTTTCGTTTATGCCTTCCTTTCATCATGTTTTGAGGTACTTACTACAAAACTCTGTTGATTGTTTAGCTGATCTCAGTCTGTTAGTTCCAACGCCGAATTTAATGCAGTGATGATCGCAGCGAGATGAGAGGCAAATCTTGGCAGTTTTGACAGCAAATGCTACCTGCGGATTAGCCGCCTATGTACAGCTGAACTGCGCAAGTGAGCCGATTGCTTTGATGATTCAGTGCAGCAATACGGATTGATATTGTTTTTTGGGTATACATCGTATAGATCGAGGACACGATTTGCCACCGCTTCTGTGGCCTACGCTAATGGTAACTTGTCGGCCGTCTGCTCGTTTCTTGGGGATCTCCGGAAAATGTTGCCAGTTTCCACCTTCGCCTTCACCTGTGGCTTCGTTGACGTAGCACAGCGATATTCGTGCTGCCGTGAATTACGTGTCCATGAATGCAGCTCTTAAACGTGTTCGCCCTGCTTGATACCTTACAGATCATTCGGTCAGCTAACAGGTAGTCAGGCAAGCAGGTAGCCGGGCAGTCAGTCAGCCAGTCATTGACGTTTACTTACGTGAACCCAC